TACTGCCATCAGGGGGCGTGTGGGACTCCAGTGAATAAGCCAGTGAAAGTCCCCTGGTCTTCACTAGTTACCCTAGCCACAAAGTCATAAACACCCCTACTTCTACAATTTATCTTCTTAAAATGTAATTTTCAACGTAACCACACTGCTAATCTTATGCCTAACACTAACCTTAAATGAAGACCAAAAGCACTTTTTATTTTCATGCATTTTTACAATATGGCTGTGGTAACTAGTGTAAAATACGTCCTCTGAAGAAACCCTGGGGTCAGCACCTCCATGCTGTACCAGTGTCATAGAAAGTCAAAAGGCCCGGGATGAATACTGTCCTTTCTCTCTTCCATCAAGTAATAACTGCTTAGACAGGTGAAAGCCATAAGGGAAAAGCCATTTCTTTCAACTGTCACGTTAGATCAGTAATTACTTCAAGGAAGGGAGGAAGCCACCAAAAACAACGAGGTGAATGAGGAAGAAAGGGAGAGAGCGAGAGAAGGAGAGATATCACATGACAGAACAGCCTAAGCCTTTTACCCACTTCACAATTATCCTGGTGTGGTCAGCAGTGATGTCTAAAAGTCTAAATGACAGGTGGGTGGAATCAACTGACCAATCCATGAATAAAGAAGATCAGTCACACGCACATAATTTAGTCCGACAATGGCATGAGTAAATCCTGACATTCCACTATTTGACTAAGACTCGTCCCACATCTTTCAATTCAAGTACATTAGAAATAATTTAAACTGCTGAGATACTTACTCAAGACATACACGTTCAAGGAAGAATACGACATCTGCACACAGCACAAAAAACACTGCTTTGTTACTCAAAAATATACATAGCTTTTGTTTGTCCATCCCTATAAAAGGCAGCTAGGGAGCTGACTCCAAAGATAAAAACATATCATAGCAAAGACCAAAGTCCTCTCACACACCAGGTGGCATCACTCAAACATTTGTGTTTTTAACTTGGCAGCCTGCCAAAAGAAAATATAGTGAAAATAACTAAACACACTGTGCTTCGGGAACAAGCCTGTGTGTCGGTCTGTGTACAAGGGAGTTATTCAATAGAAGCATAAGGAAAGTGACAATTCCTCCAGCCTTGCCTCAAAGCCACTGAGTTCTTTCCACCGTTTCCATAATACACAAGTGAAACCGTGGAGGTATCTAGATGGTAGAGCGCGAGACTGGCATTCTAACTGCAGTCAACAGTAGGTACAAAATAAGTAGTGCACTCAATCACTGTTTAAATGCTTTGCCCCATGAAAAAGCAAGGTCATTCAATGATTAAAAAAAGACAAATTACAGGACATCATACATTTTCGGTTCACAAAACAAAATAAATCGATAACAGACAAGATAACCGTTCAGGAGTAAACACTGAGGTTTACCAAGAGAGTAGAATATTATTGTAAAATGTAGCATTTCACAACCTCAAATGTTTTGAGTGCAGAGGAACACAAATAAGCATATCTGAAGGATAAAAAAAGGCCCCTCACTTCCTTTCACTCTGATGACATTACAGAGGAAACAAATGAGGTTCCTATATTTGAAATCTTCAAATTCTGCTTTCTCAACCTTGTCTGCGCTAAAATTGATTTAAAAAGTGAGAGAGACCACAGTATCATCTCCTAAAATGCAACCATTTCCACAGGCTAAATAATGATGACCTCTAAGGGGCATTGAGGCAGCTGTATAGTCTCCGTCTCTTCAGCTTCCATTTCTTAAGTCCAGGTCTTGAACGTCCACACCGCAGCACAGCTCCATTTTTTGTTCTAGCCCAGCAAACACACCTGATTCAAAAATAATACTCAACTAATCATTAAGCCTGTAATTAGTTGATTCAGGTGTGTTCGGGCTGGGCTAGAACAAAAATATGCAACACCAGATGGTACCCCAGGAATACAGTTGAGAAACACTGCTCTATAGGAACCAGACTTGTCAGCATGTCTTCTTATTGGCTGTTATGTTGTTGCAGTGAACAGATGCCTATCCTGATAGGCCCTGCGGAGAGGTGGTCTGATTAAGGCATTACATGGTAAGGCCAGCAGGGGGAGCAGTAGCATCTAAGTCAATATGAGAGCAAAGTCTGTTCTCCTTGTCCCAGATTCAGTACACAAACAGACAGACTGGAAGTAGAAGCCGCCCTAAAGTGTACATCTGGGATCAGTTCACTCTATGCCAATCCTAGCTTTAAACATTGGGAGGTAAAAAAGCTAAAACTGACCTTGGATCAGCATTTGGAAGCAACTTTTCCTTCATCCACACAGACACAGAAACAAAGCTAGGTGTTTGTGGATAAGAGGGCCCAGTTTACCGGTACGTGCAATGTTACCAAAAGCAATGCGAAATGCAACTCATAACGGATCTATTGGCGATACAATTGGCCTGAAATTGAAAAGCTGAAAAGGTTTGAGTGGGTAATAACGACCAGTGCGTCAAACACAGGGATATAGAATACAAATCATTTTCAGAGTTAAATCTCAATCTGGTAACATAATAGGTCCTCTGTCACTCACTAACCGCTGTGTAACATTTTTCTTGCATATAATTTTAATTAGCACATTAATTGTTTAACACAAATATGGAGGCAGCAGGCAAATTTAGTGACTGTTGTGAGGTGATTTGGTACTCATCAGGTTTCTTTCTGGCAAGGATGCATTAGGAAAGTGCTTCTCTTTCGGTGTTCCCTCCTTTTCTACCGTTTATTTTTGCTTTGACTACTTATGCCCAATCCCAAATCAACCTGCAGACCCTTCTTGATGGACCCTTATAGATTTGAAAGAACTGGATGCATGTTGAACTGGACACTCCACCTAGCTAACCAGAAGCAAAAGGTGGGACTATTAACCTATTGCTTACACCTGTGGCATCTTTGCAGATCTACAAGGGGCCATGGAGAGGTGTCTAGGGTTGGAGCAAGAGGTTACTTTAGGACTAGGTAGCATTATCTATAATGACTCCTTCACTTGTAAGACAGTCAAACACGGCTGAGTGGGAGGGGCTTGCTGGAATATGAACCAATTAGCCATTAGGATACATTCACACATTCAAACAAACATCCACACCTACAGTACCAGTCAAAAGTTTGGACACACCTACTCATTCAAGGGTTTTTCTCAATTTTTACTATTTTCTACATTGTAGAATAATAGTGAAGACATCATGTAGTAACCAAAAGAAAGTGTTAAACAAATAAAAATATATTTTATATTTAAGATTCTTCACCCTTTGCCTTGATGACAGCTTTGCACACTCTTGACATTCTCTCAACCAGCTTCATGAGGTAGACACCTGGAATGCATTTCAATTAACAGGTGTGCCTTGTTAAAAGTTCATTTGTGGAATTTCTTTCCTTCTTAATGCGTTTGAGCCAATCAGTTGTGTTGTGACAAGGTAGAGGTGGTATACAGAAGATAGCCCTATTTGGTAAAAGACCCAGTCCATATTATGGCAAGAATAGCTCAAATAAGCAAAGTGAAATGACAGTCCATCTTTACTTTAAAACATGAAGGTCAGTCAATCCGGATTATTTCAAAAACGTTGAACGTTTCTTCAAGTGCAGTCGCAAAAACCATCAAGCGCTATGATGAAACTGGCTCTCATGAGGACCGCCACAGGAAAGGAAGATCCAGAGTTACCTCTGCTGCAGAGGATAAGTTCATTAGAGTTACCAGCCTCAGAAATTGCAGCCCAAATAAATGCTTCACAGAGTCCAAGTAACAGACACATCTCAACATCAACTGTTCAGAGGAGTGAGTGAATCAGGCCTTCATGGTCAAATTGCTGCAAAGAAATCACTACTAAAGGACACCAATAAGAAGAAGAGACTTGCTTGGGCCAAGAAACAATGGACATTAGACCGGTTGATATCTGTCCTTTGGTATGATAAGTCCAAATTTGAGATTTTTGGTTTCAACCGCCGTGTCTTTGTGAGACGCAGAGTAGGTGAACGGATTATCTCTCCATGTATGGTTCCCACCGTGAAGCATGGAGGAGGTGTGATGGTGCTTTGCTGGTGAAACTGTCAGTGATTTATTTAGAATTCAAAGCACACTTAACCAGCATGGCTACCACAGCATTCTGCAGTGATACGCCATCCCATCTGGTTTGCGCTTAGTGGGACTATCTTTTGTTTTTCAACAGGACAATGACACAACACATCTCCAGGCTGTGTAAGGGCTATTTGACCAACTCAATTGAGATGAGTTGGACCGCAGCGTGAAGGAAACGCAGCCAACAAGTGCTCATCATATGTGGGAACTCCTTCAAGACTGTTGGAAAAGCATTCCAGGTGAAGCTGGTTGAGAGAATGCCAAGAGTGTGCAAAGCTGTCATCAAGGCCAAGGGTGGCTACTTTGAAGAATCTCAAATATAAAATATATGTTTTGGTTACTACATGATTCCATATGTGTTATTTCATAGTTTTGATGTCTTCACTATTATTCTACAATGTAGAAAATAGTGAAAATAAAGAAAAAACCCTTGAATGAGTAGGTGTGTCCAAACTTTTGACTGGTACTGTATGCATGTACAGACATAAATATGCATGGACAAAAAGCAAAGAAAGGGACAGCTTAAGACCGGCTTTTACTGTGGATGGGAGTGGGTTTGGTGAGAGAGAAAGAGAAGAGAGACGCGAGAAAGAAAGAAAAAGTTGGTTGGGGTCTATAGACTGGTCTCCTCACGCCCGCAAAGAGAAAGGGAGGGAGGAAGACTTGACTTTTGATCTACACTTGAGCAAAAGAAAGAAAAAAAACTGGGGCAGATGAAGAGATGTCCTCAGGCATCGTCTGGTATCCAGAGGAAAGGTCCAAGGTCAAATTTAGTCATTCATCCATTCAGTCACCAAGAGGGAAAGAAAAGAAAGGTCTTCATGTGTATAGTAGTTCCAGGTCTTTTAATAACAAGTCTCTCTCACAACTCCCTCCCAGAAATGTCCTTTCATTAGTTTCCTTAAAACCAAACCCGCTCAGCGACACCGGACAGGGTAGCAGGAGCTCATTTCTGCCGTGGAGTGTTCTTCTTCCGTTTACGCTTGAAGAAGCAACAGCACCTGAAGAGAAAGGATAAGAGATAGAAAAGGAAAGTTCCTTGGCAATCTATTTCTCTCACTATTATGCTGCAATCACTCCAAACTCACTCACAACTTCAAATATATAATTAATACAAAATGCATGTGAACATTTAACAGTTATAAAAATGAGTGCGAGAGTGACGGTGAGAAGAGAGCGAGCATGTGATGGGGAGGGAATAAACTCAGACTGTATGCTACCCAGCTGGCTCAAAATATTTATGTAATGTTCTGCAATTAGATTGAACAAGGTTGCAGACTGGTAACTGTAGAACCAACGTTGCAGGTCTTTGTGAATCCCATACAAATGCCATCACACAAATCCGTTCTTGACGGATACAAGCACTGTGTGGTCTTGGCCTTAGTCTTTCCAGTTGAGCTACATAATCATACTTCAGCTCCTCTTAGTAGTGTGAAAAGGATATTAGTCACTCCATGTGGGAAGCCTCAAATTCAATATGAAAGTAACATTGTTATTTGTTTAATGGAATTTCAAGGGTGAAGCCAAGAAACCAACAAAGTGCTGGATATGTTGTCTGGTGCTAGTCTGGTGGTATTAGTTTAGTGCTAGTCTGGTCCACTCCCTTTGAATGGCTGATGTGCATGGGAGTGGGACTCACCACAGGTTGAGCATTTTCACGCAGCTACAGAGAGAGTGTGAGGAGAAAAGACGTATATTAATACTGTACAGAGATAGAGACAAGGACACAGGATAGTCCTGTGCAAAGTAGAACCGCACGCACACATGCACACACAGATACACTAACACACACAGGTAAGAGAAGACAAAACTTTGTCTGGGCAAAGTGGGGGAAAGGACAATTATCGCAGTTCATACAAGGGAAACAAATAAAAGAAAGATACAGTGAGGGAAAAAAGTATTTGATCCCCTGCTGATTTTGTATGTTTGCCCACTGACAAAGAAATTATCAGTCTATAATTTTAATGGTAGGTTTATTTGAACAGTGAGAGACAGAATAACAACAAAAAAATCCAGAAAAACGCATGTCAAAAATGTTATAAATTGATTTGCATTTTAATGAGGGAAATAAGTATTTGACCCCCTCTCAATCAGAAAGATTTCTGGCTCCCAGGTGTCTTTTATACAGGTAACGAGCTGAGATTAGGAGCACACTCTTAAAGGGAGTGCTCCTAATCTCAGCTTGTTACCTGTATAAAAGACACCTGTCCACAGAAGCAATCAATCAATCAGATTCCAAACTCTCCACCATGGCCAAGACCAAAGAGCTCTCCAAGGATGTCAGGGACAAGATTGTAGACCTACACAAGGCTGGAATGGGCTACAAGACCATAGCCAAGCAGCTTGGTGAGAAGGTGACAACAGTTGGTGCGATTATTCGCAAATGGAAGAAACACAAAAGAACTGTCAATCTCCCTCGGCCTGGGGCTCCATGCAAGATCTCACCTCGTGGAGTTGCAATGATCATGAGAACGGTGAGGAATCAGCCCAGAACTACACGAGAGGATCTTGTCAATGATCTCAAGGCAGCTTGGACCATAGTCACCAAGAAAACAATTGGTAACACACTACGCCGTGGTCCCCCTGCTCAAGAAAGCACATATACAGGGCCGTCTCAAGTTTGCCAATGAACATCTGAATGATTCAGAGGAGAACTGGGTGAAAGTGTTGTGGTCAGATGAGACCAAAATCGAGCTCTTTGGCATCAACTCAACTCGCCGTGTTTGGAGGAGGAGGAATGCTGCCTATGACTCCAAGAACACCATCCCCACCGTCAAACATGGAGGTGGAAACATTATGCTTTGGGGGTGTTTTTCTGCTAAGGGGACAGGACAACTTCACCGCATCAATGGGACGATGGACAGGGTCATGTACCATCAAATCTTGGGTGAGAACCTCCTTCCCTCAGCCAGGGCATTGAAAATGGGTCGTGGATGGGTATTCCAGCATGACAATGACCCCAAAACACACGGCCAAGGCAACAAAGGAGTGGCTCAAGAAGAAGCACAATAAGGTCCTGGAGTGGCCTAGCCAGTCTCCAGACGTTAATCCCATAGAAAATCTGTGGAGGGAGCTGAAGGTTCGAGTTGCCAAACGTCAGGCTCGAAACCTTAATGACTTGGAGAAGATCTGCAAAGAGGAGTGGGACAAAATCCCTCCTGAGATGTGTACAAACCTGGTGGCCAACTACAAGAAACGTCTGACCTCTGTGATTGCCAAGAAGGGTTTTGCCACCAAGTATTAAGTCATGTTTTGCAGAGGGGTCAAATACTTATTTCCCTCATTAAAATGCAAATCAATTTATAACATTTTTGACATGCGTTTTTCTGGATTTTTTTATTGTTATTCTGTCTCTCACTGTTCAAATAAACCTACCATTAAAATTATAGACTGATCATGTCTTTGTCAGTGGGCAAACGTACAAAATCAGCAGGGGATCAAATACTTTTTTCCCTCACTGTAGAAAGGTGAATGAGAGAGCACCTACAGTATACAAGGAGGGGAAGTTTGTTCTTTTTTTGTTTTAGCTAGATGGTATATTTTCAGATAATCTTAATAACTTTGCCCCACATATCATCATTGAAACTAACTGAACCAAAATATGGATTTGTTGCAGATTATCAGTTTACCACCCAGTCCCAACTGGTTCCATCCACAAGAGACAACTTTGCTTGGACATGATTTCATCCCAGCTCAAGCAGTTTGATTTCTTGTATCTAATACGCTTCACGGTGCTTCAAACTGGTTGGGATTGGACAGTTAGTCAGTCTCATGGACTGAGCAAGAGTATTAGTAAAGAAATTACCCAAAATACCACTTGCTGTCATAAATGGTCTTCCAATACATTTCTTCAATGTCTTCACTGAAATGTTGAACCACTCCCTGACCCAGTCTGTAATACCTACACGTTTCAAGCAGACCATTATAGTCCCTGTGCCCAAGAACACCAAGGTAACCTGTCTAAATGACTATTGCCCCGTAGGACTCATATCTGTAGCCATTAAATGCTTTGAAAGCCTGGTCATGGCTTTCATCTGAAACTGGATCCTAGACTGCATGACGGGACGCACCCAGGTGGTGAGGGTAGGCAACAACACATCCGCCATGCTGACCCTCAACACAGGGGCCCCTCAAGGGTGCGTGCTTAGTCCCTTCCTGTACTCCCTGTTCACCCACGACTGCGTGGCCACGCACGACTCCATTACCATCATTAAGTTTGCCGATGACACGACGGTGGTAGGCCTGATCACCACCGACGATAAGACAGCCTATAGGAATGTCAGAGACCTGGCAGTGTGGTGCCAGGACAACAACCTCTTCCTCAACGTCAGCAAGACAAAGGAGCTGATTGTGGACTACAGGAAAAGGAGGGCAGAGCATGCCCCCATTCACATCGACAGGGCTGAAATGGAGCGAGTTGAGAGCTTCACGTTCCTTGGTGTCCACATCACTAAGGATCTATCATGGTCCAAACACACCAACGCAGTCGTGAAGAGTGCACGACAACACCTCCTCCCCCTCAGGAGGCTGAAAAGATTTGGCACGGTAAGCGGTACTGATGCACCAAGTCTGGAACCAACAGCACCCTCAACAGCTTTTACCCCAAGCCATAAGACTGCTAGAGTTAGTTAAATAGTTAACCAAATAGCTAACCAGACTATCAGCATTGACACTTTTGGCACAAACTTTTTTTCACTCATCACATATGCTGCTGCTATCGATTAATATCTGTCCTAGTTATATGTACATTTCTACCTCAATTACCTCGTACCCGTGCACATCGACCCGGTACGGGTACCCCTTGTATATAGCCACGTTATCGTTACTCATTGTGTATCTACATCGACCAAAAATATAAACGCAACATGTAAAGCCGAAATAAAACATCCCAGAAATGTTCCATACACACAAAAAAGTATCTCTAAAATGTTGTGCACAAATTTGTTTGTGTGCAGTTTTGTCACAACAAAATGCCACAAATGTTTCAAGTTGCGAGAGCGTGCAAATGACATGCTAACTGCAGGAATGTCCACCAGAGCTGTTGCCAGATAAGTTAATGTTAATTTCTCTACCATAATCCACCTCCGTCGTCTTTTTAGAGAATTTGGCAGTACGTCCAACCGGCCTCAACTGCAGACCACGTGTATGGCGTCGTGTGGGTGAGCAGTTTGCTGATGTCAAAGTTGTGAACAGAGGGACCCATGGTGGCGGTGGGGTTATGGTATGGGCAGGCATAAGCTACGGACAACGAACACAATTGCATTTTATCGATGGCAATTTGAATGCATAGAGAAACTGTGACAAGATCCTGAGGCCCGTTGTCGTCCCATTCATCCACCGCCATCACCTCATGTTTCAGCATGATAATGCACGGCCCCATGTCGCAAGGACCTGTATACAATTCCTGGAAGCTGAAAATGTCCCAGTTCTTCCATGGCCTGCATACTCACCAGACATGTCACCCATTGAGCATGTTTGGGATGCTCTGGATCGACGTGGGACAACATTCCACAATCAACAGCCTGATCAACTCTATGCGAAAGAGATGTGTCGCGCTGCATGAGGTAAATGGTGGTCATACCAGATAGTGACTACTTTTCTGATCCTACTTTTAAAAAAGGTATCTGTGACCAACAGATGCATACCTGTATTCCCAGTCATGTGAAATCCATAGATTAGGGCCGAATGAATTTACTTCAATTGACTGTTTTCCTTATATGAACTGTAACTCAGTAAAATTGTAGAAATTGTTGCATGTTGCATTTATATTTTTGTTCAGCATATTATTCTGTGTTTTACTTTTCTATTATTTATATTTTCTTTCTCTCTGCATTGTTGGGAACGGCCCTTAAGTAAGCATTTCACTGTTAGTCCACACCTGTTCTTTACGAAGCATGTGACAAATAAAATGTGATTTGATTTGAATAAAACTAAAAAACTAAGCGCTATTGAAAGGGACAGATCAAATCAAATCCAACTGTATTTGTCACATGCGCAGAATACAACAGGTGTGTAGACCTTACAGTGAAATGCTTACTTACAAGCCCTTAACCAACAATGCAGTTTTAAGAAAAATACGTGTTAAGTAAAAAATAAAATATCAAATAAAAAGAAATAACAAATAATTAAAGAGCAGCAGTAAAATAACAGTAGCGAGGCTATATACAGGGGGTACCGGTACAGAGTCAATGTGCGGGGGCACAGGTTAGTCGAGGTAATTGAGGTAATATGTACATGTAGGTAGAGTTGATATGGTAGAGATGACCAAGCAAAGATGGAGAGAGAGAGAGACAGAGAGCGAGAGAGCTAGCTACGACAGAAGAAAAAGTGCCAGAAACGTACTTGGCCTCTTCCACCACCTCCACTTCGGCCTGCGCTGTGATAGGTGCGTTGGAGTGGGCCGTCATTGGGTCATCGGCGTTCAGCTCCCCATTGGTGGAGCTGACCACCTGAGGCACATGGGAAAAAGGTCATATCAGTCATGCAAAAATACAGATAATTCTGTTAGGATGACTAAAACAGAAAAATACAAAATGCCAACGTTGACATCTGCATCGCAAGGTTAACAAAACACTGTCATGATCATACTATAGCCCAAAGTGTCTTGTGACAACCGACTTAACACTGTCACATAAAACTGTTACTCACGTATGCATGTTGGCTAGGTCTACAGCTAGCTAACTCAATTTTGTATTAGTTCATTTTTTTAAAATATTATTTTCCAAATTTTTCTCCCCCACACAAAATACAAACATACACATACGAACAACTTACAGACGCACACAAACAACAACTACATCTCCTCTGCCCAGACCTGCATGCTCACACCTCCATCCCTAGTGCCTGCATTATTGTTTGCCACTTGGCCTTAAATTGTACCAATTTGGTTTTCCTCGGTCGCCCATGCTATTCAATATTTCAATAATAAATTATTTGATTTTTCCATTGTGTTATTGATGGCGGATTAATTGATTTCCACGTTTTTATACATTTTCTCAAGATGAATGATGAGAAGAGAATCGTCCAGTCCATTGGGTCTCACTACACTCCAATATGCCATGTCTTTCAATATCCAGACAGATGGATTAAAATTAAGTTTACATTGTAATACTTCTGACAGCCAACTTTCTAGCTCCACCCATACATTTTGGACTTCATAACATTCCCAGAAAGCATGGATTATTGAATCATTGTTAGTTTTACACTTCAGACATGACTCTGCCGTTGTGCTGTAGAATTTGTGAATTTATTCACTTGTATAATAAATTCTATACATGAGTTTATACTGGATTAAGCATACATTTTCATTAACTGTAATTTCATTAGTTATGCACCAACTTTCCCTCCATCTTGTGGCAATATCAGTTCCTTTTAAGTCTTGGTTCAAATAGTTTATATTTTTTTCTAAGAGATTGTCAGTTGGATATGCTCTCTGCAAGGTTTTGTATGTCTTACCTATCATATGAAAATCATTTTCTGACTCAAATAAGATTCCCTCAAGGTTGCTCTGATGTCCAAAATATTTAAAATCGACATTTTGTGATATGTAACTTAAGTTGAATGTATTTCAAATTGGTCAGTCCAAAATTACTTTTTAATTCTGTCATTGGAATAAATGTCCTGTTACCAAATCATTTACGGTTTCTATGCCTTTAGTTTTTCCATGTGGACTAATTTATCGGTTAATTCTGAAAAGCTATCCTAGCCATCTTAACTACAACAAATAGTTTCAAGTTAGCATAATGCCAGTTTTCATAAGCGGTTATGATGACATCAGATCTGTAATGACTGCTTATGGCATCTCTCCCATTCGGTCACAAACATGACAGTAATATGTAGGCCCTCATGACAGAAACATCAACTAAAGTGAAGTTACCGATCTCCCTCCATACAGCTAAGCCATTTCCAGACATCCATGTGCGGAGTCATTTATGCGGCGCATTAGCCTTTACCTCTACTCCTTTACGCCCTGTCTCCCTTAATGGGAAAGGATCTTGTTCGAGTGTGAGTGAACGTGTGTCTGGTGGGCCTTGTGAACCTGTCTCTCCCTGTCTGCCTCTTTCTCAGACTAAATGTCTACATGCTGCTGTGTATAAGCTGGTCCCTCCCTGTCTTGAATCTCAGACGGAGTGTTTCCTTGCTGCTGAACACAGAAACACAACATGTTGAACAGCCTCAGCTGTTGATCATCATAACAGCATGTTGAACAGCTTCGCATACACAGTACAACATCTTATATCTTAAGGGCAAAGAGCGGGTGAAAGCAATGTGGCGAGGGTCCCACCTATGAAGAGTTTCTGCCATATTGCTTTAATATTTTCTGTCCCTTTGGATCTGTGGGCTAGAGGGCTATCAAGGACATAGGCAACGAAGCAGGTTTTTTGGTTTGGAAGCCAGCCACTAAGTAGTAGTTGGGTATCTCAGTGGTTGGTTGGTGTATACCTGCACAGAGCCCCCATGCCTGTCTGCGGCCAGGTGGGAGCTGCTCAGGTAGGAGGAGTTTGTCTGCTGGTGGGGCTGTGCATCCCATGCCCCTCTGCGGTCTGATACTGCCGTCTGGTTGGTTGGGGAGGCGGATGGGCAGAGCGAGATGTGGGTGGGCGGGGCAAGTGAGTGAGAGCGGCAGGCGCCGACAGGCCATGCAACGCAGGAAAACAAAACAAAGAAAAACAGAGGTGAGAGGCGTGGCGAAGCCGGCAATACGTGTAAGTAACTGAAAACAACCAGGTCAAAACAAAAAAAAGTATTGCAAAATCAATAGCTTTAACATTATAAATGTAAAGGTAGACTCAGCAAAATGACATTGCCACGAGCAGCATCGCCGAGATCGAGATGAGCGAGATGCAACACTTCGCTCTCACACAGTATCTGCGCATGTGCACGGGTTCGCTTCACGCGGTTACCGCGTGGTAGCCACGGGACCAAAACAGCAGAGAAGTAGAGCCTCACGTTTCAACACTCTTAGTTGTTGCAGAAATTGACCCACTATCTACTTCATATGGCTGAGTCTACCTTTACAATTGTATTTGTGATTTTAAAGCAAAACATTTTTAGACAGTTATAAGAAACCCTGTATGTATGTTTGCCATCATCTTTTTTTGTATTACCATATTTTATAACCCTGGTGGCTTTCCTAAGAGACTTGCATTGTTTCTTTGTCCTGGCTGCATTGATTGAGTAGTGTGGGCCAGCAAGCGCCACTTTATCCCCTCCTGTATCTCGTTCATCACTATTCCCCTGGACAGGACAGGTTGCACGTGACAGGACATTGAGGGATTAGCTGCTAATAAAGTTGTTGCAGGGGGCTTTGGCAGGGGACCTATGCAGTCTGGGAGCTTTCAACTGGGACTTACTGCGAGTTCATTTCAGATTGGTTGTCATGTCCTGTCCTGTATTGCGGGTCTGAAGTCCTGGCTCAATAAAACGACTCGTGCTTGGAGAGACTGATGGGGTGATATGGGTCGACTTATTCAAAACCAAGGACGTTTCCTTCATCACCCACTCTCATTTCTCTCCTCTTTTCTACCACTAGTTCTCTTCTTTAAGTCAACTCTGCCTTATTCACCTTCCATTGCTTTCCTCTTTCTTCATGTACCTAAATCCCCTCTTTATCTCAATTCCTTCCTCCGTCTCTCCATCTCGCTCTTACAATCCCTTTCTGGCACATACTGTAGCACCAATGGAGGCACAGGTGGGCTGTTGTTCAGTGCTGAAGCGCTGATTAGAGATTAGTCTGGGACTCCTGGGCGCAGCGCAACACACAATCAAGTAGCACCACTCTAGCTGCAGCCAATCGGATTTGAGACAAGCTTCCCTGCCTGTTGGGAGCAATAGCTGGAGGACTTCCAGCTGAGAAATTCATTTTGCGTCTCTCCATGCCTCTTTCCGGGTCGAACACAGCCAGGCAGAGGCAGACATGGACAAGGTATTTTGGTGCCAACAGCAACTCATCTAAAAGATCAGCTGAGACTGTTAGGTGCTCATTTCGACCTGAAAGCTCCTTTGCTTCGGTCTTTTTCCAAAAGCGGATATGCTGAGAAATATAATTTTTTACTAAACTGTTAGGATATCAAGCCATATAGCACCAACCCAACTGAAAAATGATTTGAGAGGAAAGCTTGAATTGCGTGGACCATAAGCAAAGCCACCCAGTTGGAAAAATAACTATATGGACTACTCTTTCTCCTCCAAATTGTACAAATGTAAATGGTGTTGGATTTACTGTAATGTAAACCGTAAAGCATATTGAGATCAAAGGTGATATATTTAGACAATCCCAAACCCATAATCATAAGTCATGCAACTCCATAGCATTGAAACTAATTCTAGGTCACTTATAAAATCATAAGGTGTTCAAGCAAGCAATACTTATTTGTTTTCCTTGTTGCTGGCAAGGTGGGGACCAACTCCATTTCAATCTCCTTCAATTTAGGAATTGGCTCTCCTATTGAGAAATTCCATGTCTAAATCAACTGACAGGAGTGGAAATTGAATTGACTAGAACCATGCAAAAACAATTCATGAGGATTTGTATATTCATGAATTTGTTGATTCCAGTTGATTTTCTTGAAATGATTGGCTTTTTCAGATGAACAGGCAGGGCTGAAGTGAACTGCTGAGTGAGACTACTGTGTTTACCTGGTTCCGTAGGGGTTGTTGCTGAGAGGGTCTGTCTCTGTTAGCGTTGCTCTCTCTCGTGATGGCAGATGCACCCGAGTCCACGTTGACAGACCCCACTGGAGTAGGCTGAGAGAAAGAGAGTGAGAGCGAGAGAGACTGACAGATAAACCAAAAGGCTCAAGGGTGGAAACTCGAGATCTGCTCAAGGAAACATTTTTACATTATGTATGCCTTTCACTTGTGTTTTAAATGTCTATTATACTTTTGATTTCCCAACTTTCCAGCTATGAACGGTATACAAAAAGTTATTATACCAAAACATACAGGACTGAACAGTTAGCAAGCTGCCGCTAATCAGCACATTTACTCTAGTGTCTTTCAACAGCTGCTATATGACTATTGTACGTGAGACTACACTTATGCTATTTAGCATGTGAACTCTAGCTACTCACAATCGGTCTGCCGTCCCAGTCGTAGGTGTAGTCAAAGGTGTATCCTTTGCGCTCAAGCAGCTCGGTGAACAGAGTCCTCAAATACTCGTAGTCGGGCTTCTCGAAGAAGTCCAACCGCCGCACGTAGCGCAGGTAGGTGGCCATCTCTTCTATAAGGGGACAACACGGTCAACATGGTTCAGGCAAAACAAGAGGCCCATCTAGTCATACCTGACAATAGATTGCACCAAGGAGCATGGAATTGCAGGTCCTTATTTATCAAAGTAGAATACGTTTTTTGTGTAACACAATTAATCCATTCCAACAGATGTTCCAACACCATCATTAAGTTTGCCGACGACACAACAGTGGTAGGCCTGATCACCGACAACCATGAGACAGCCTGGACGTGTGGTGCCAGGATAACAACCTCTCCCTCAATGTGATCAAGACAAAGGAAATTATTGTGGACCACAGGAAAAAGAGGACCGAGCACGCCCCCATTCTCATCGACGGGGCTGTAGTGGAGCAGGTTGAGAGCTTCAAGTTCCTTGGTGTCCACATCACCAACAAACTATCATGGTCCAAACATACCAAGACAGTCGTGAAGAGGGCACGACAAAGCCTATTCCCCCTCAGGAGACAGAAAAGATTTGGCATGGGTCCTCAGATCCTCAAAAAGTTCTACAGCTGCATAACCTATTTAATCTGTAGGCTAATAAACTGCATGTTTTCCCGAGTCGTAGTGGGAGGACCACACAACATATTGCTTGACTACTTCGATATGATGGTTATTATATCAACATTTGCACACAAAGGAGTTTCCACTGCCATCTCTCACATAATAAATGTTTACCGACCCAAAAAGATCCCACCATGTCAAACGAACAAATTGTCTGTCGGCATTTATAAAATTGTACCGGCAGTTCATGTTTCCATCAGCCCGGTCCTGACTTTTATCATGCGTCAGCTAATTCATCTGCATGAAATGGTTGGATGGAAACGTGGTTAGTGTCTTGCAAATACATGCCCTTTCATTCACTCTCCGACGCGCCTGTCCTTCAAGAAGCATCTTCTGCTCACTTATGCCCATTTTTAAGTACAGCTCGCTCTTGATCATTCTATTGCGATTATTAACTGCCATTTTAATATGCAGTGCAGAGCGTGTGTTCTAGGAAATGTAACCATTTCACAAAGCCATGCACTAGTGTCAGGGTGGAAAATTGGCACAGTACCTGGAAAGCTTTCACAGAGGACCTCGATGGGAGTGTTGCGCTTGGTGTCGCCAATCTTCTGGTATCTCTCTTTCAGGGTGTCAGCCTGTAGGTAGAAGGCAGAAATTGAGTCCAAACACACTTTTGCCATCTTTTCTCCCTCCTTTCCTTCCCTTCACCCTAAATGTTACATTTCACCTTCCCTCCTCCACGCCCGTCTTTCAATCACGCTCTTTTTCGCTCCTCTGCTTCCTTTAGGTGACCATTCCTTCGCTCTCCCTCTTTGAATCACGACTAGTTGTGCATCACACTCAACTAACATCTGGGTCATGTTCATTATAAGGGCACATCATAGCTAAATGTTTTGCAAAGGAAAACAAAAACAAGTGTTTCTTATTGGACAAGTTCAGATAGTACCTCCCCATTTTGTGCCTACTAAACATGACCCAGCAGATATCATGCCTAGCTCCCCCCTACCTTGAGTCCTTGCCACGGCAGACTCCCTCGTAAGAAATACATGAACATGTGGCCCAGGGCTTCCAGGTCATCCCGTCGACTTTGCTCTGAAACAAAAGAGAGGGGTGTCCGTTTTCAGCTGTGACCGATGTATAGCCTACATACCATACTCGAGTGTTGGGGGCTTATATACACACAGTGGGGAGAACAAGTATTTGATACACTGCCGATTTTGCAGGTTTTCCTACTTACAAAGCATGTAGAGGTCTGTCATTTTTATCATAGGTACACTTCAACTGTGAGAGACGGAATCTAAAACAAAAATCCTGAAAATCACATTGTATGATTTTTAAGTAATTAATTTGCAATTTATTGCATGACATAAGTATTTGATCACCTACCAACCAGTAAGAATTCCGGCTCTCACAGACCTGTTAGTTTTTCTTTAAGAAGCCCTCCTGTTCTCCACTCATTACCTGTATTAACTGCACCTGTTTGAACTCGTTACCTGTATAAAAAGACACCTGTCCACACACTCAATCAAACAGACTCCAACCTCTCCACAATGGACAAGACCAGAGAGCTGTGTAAGGACATCAGGGATAAAATTGTAGATCTGCACAAGGCTGGGATGGGCTACAGGACAATAGGCAAGCAGCCTGGTGAGAAGGCAACAACTGTTGGCGCAATTATTAGAAAATGAAAGAAGTTCAAGATGCCGGTCAATCACCCTCAGTCTGGGGCTCCATGCAAGATCTCACCTCGTGGGGCATCAATGATCATGAGGAAGGTGAGGGATCAGCCCAGAACTACACGGCAGGACCTGGTCAATGACCTGAAGAGAGCTGGGACCACAGTCTCAAAGAAAACCATTAGTAACACACTACGCCGTCATGGATTAAAATCCTGCAGCGCACGCAAGGTCTCCCTGCTCAAGCCAGCGCATGTCCAGGCCGGTCTGAAGTTTGCCAATGACCATCTGGATGATCCAGAGGAGGAATGGGAGAAGGTCATGTGGTCTGATGAGACAAAAATAGAGCTTTTTGGTCTAAACGCCACTCGCCGTGTTTGGAGGAAGAAGAAGGATGAGTACAACCCCAAGAACACCATCCCAACCGTGAAGCATGGAGGTGGAAACATCATTCTTTGGGGATGCTTTTCTGCAAAGGGGACAGGACGACTGCACCGTATTGAGGGGAGGATGGATGGGGCCATGTATCGTGAGATCTTGGCCAACAACCTCCTTCCCTCAGTAAGAGCATTGAAGATGGGTCGTGGCTGGGTCTTCCAGCATGACAACGACCCGAAACGCACAGCCAGGGCAACTAAGGAGTGGCTCCGTAAGAAGCATCTCAAGGTCCTGGAGTGGCCTAGCCAGTCTCCAGACCTGAACCCGAGTGGGCCAAAATCCCTGCTGCAGTGTGTGCAAACCTGGTCAAGACCTACAGGAAACGTATGATCTCTGTAATTGCAAACAAAGGTTTATGTACCAAATATTAAGTTCTGCTTTTCTGATGTATCAAATACTTATTTACATTTACATTTTAGTCATTTAGCAGACGCTCTTACATTATAATGTTATTTTTATTTTTCATACTGGCCCCCCGTGGGAATCGAACCCACAACCCTGGTGTTGCAAACACCATGCTCTACCAACTGAGCTACATCCCTGCCGGCCATTCCCTCCCTTACCCTGGACGACGCTGGGCCAATTGTGCGCCGCCCCATGGGTCTCCCGGTTGCGGCCGGCTACGACAGAGCCTGGATTCGAACCAGGATCTCTAGTGGCACAGCTAGCACTGTGATGCAGTGCCTTAGACCACTGCGCCACTCGCAATAAAATGCAAATTAATTACTTAAAAATCATACAATGTGATTTTCCGGATTTTTGTTTTAGATTCCGTCTCTCACAGTTGAAGTGTACCTATGATAAAAATGACAGACCTCTACATGCTTTGTAAGTAGGAAAACCTGCAAAATTGGCAGTGTATCAAATACTTGTTCTCCCCACCTCCCTGACCAAGGGCCTTCTCCCCTGATTGCTCAGTTTGGCCGGGCGGCTAGGTCTAGGAAGAGTCTTGGTGGTTCCAAACTTCTTCCATTTAGGAATGACCGAGGCCACTGTGTTCTTGGGGACCTTCAATGCTGCAGAAATGTTTTGGTACCCTTCCCCAGAACTGTGCCTCGACCCAATCCTGTCTCGGAGTTCTACTGACAATTCCTTCAACCTCATGGCTTGGTTTTTGCTCTGACATGCACTGTCAACTGTGGGACCTTATTTAGACAGGTGTGTGCCTTTCCAAACATGTTATCAATGGAATTTACCACAAGTGGACTCCAATCAAGTTATAGAAACATCAAGGATGATCAATGGAAACAGGATGCACCTGAGCTTAATTTCGAGTCTCATAGCAAAGGGTCTGAATACTTATGTAAATGTATTTCTGTTTATTTGTAATAAATTTGCACACATTTCTAAAAACCTATTTTCGCTTCGTCATTATGGGCTATGGTATGTAGACTGATGAGAGAAAAAAAGTATTTAATAAATTTTTATAACAAAATGTGGGAAAAGTCAAGGGGTCTGAATACTTTCCGAATGCATTGTATGTACACAGATTTAAAAAATATCGCCAAGGCAATGCCCTTCAAATTGTAGAGTTCAGCCAATCAAATATGAGAGAGCTGCCTATACTGTTCCCATGTAATTACCACTCAGGGAATTTGAGGAGACAAGTTAAGTTGTGTGGTAGAGGGGAGCAGTACTGTAGCCCTACCTTTTCCTAAGTGGGTGTTGATAGACATGTAGCGGGCGGTCCCTGTGAGGCTCTTGTGTTCCCTGTAGGGGATGTGTTTTTTGGTCTCGGGGTCGATGTACTCTTTGGCCAGGCCAAAGTCGATTATGTGGATGATGTGCTCATGCTTGTGCCCCTGCCGCCCGATGAGGAAGTTCTCTGGCTTCACGTCTCGGTAGATGAGGTTCTTGGAGTGGACATACTCCATCCGGGAGAGCTGAGGAGCGGAGAGTGGGGAAGTGTGTGACGTTCAAACGGATGCACAAGTGGACACACTGGCAAATAGAAATCAGAACAGACTCACAGGCATAATTCATGAAAACAAGATTATTTGTCATTTGGATGCTAACTGAACTTACCAGCTGAATAGCCATCATCAAAACGGTCTTGAGAGAGAAGGTCCTGTCACAGAGGTCAAAGAGGTCTTCTAGACTGGGACCCAGCAGCTCCAACACCATGGCATTGTATTTCCCACAGGGCCCAAAGTAGAAGACCTGAGGAAGACCCTCCTCTGAGAGAGAAAGATAGAGGAATGGAGAGAGAGAGGGAAAAATACAAATATAGAGTCCATTTAAACTGAAACCACTTATCAGTTGATACAATCATATGATAAGCATAATTTTGAGTTTTGATTATGCAGGGTGTTCCATTTTTTTTTTTATATGCGTGAGGGCGTGGCAGTGCACTTCACATGTCCATTTGACGCTCTACCTGCAAGACCGCACGGATGGGTATTGTTTCCTCATTAGCCTTTTTGGAACTATACGGAACAAAAATATAAAACGTAACATGCAACAATTTCAAAGATTTTACTGAGTTACAGTTCATATGAGGAAATCCGTCAAATGAAATAAATTCATTAGGCCCTAATCTATGGTTTTCACATGACTGGGAATACAGATATGCATCTGTTGGTGAAAGATTCCATAAAAAAAAAAAAAGAGCCTCACAATGTGACTCAGGATCTCGTCATGGTATTTTTGCGCATTCAAATTGCCATAGATAAAATGCAATTGTGTTCGTTGTTCGTAGCTTATGCCTGCCCATACCACAACCCCACTGCCACCATGGGGCACTCTGTTCACAACGTTGACATCAGCAAACCGCTTGCCCACACGAAGCCATACACATGGTCTGCGGTTGTGAGGCCGGTTGGATGTACTGACAAATCCTCTAAAATGACATTGGAGGCGGATAATGGTAGATAAATGAACGTTACATTCTCTAGCAACAGCTCTGGTGGACATACCTGCAGTCAGCATGCCAATTGCACGCGCTCTCAAAATTTGAGACATCTGTGGCATTGTGTTATGTGACAAAACTGCACATGTGGCCTTTTATTGTCCCCCAGCACAAGGTGCACCTGTGTAATGATGATGCTGTTTAATCAGCTTCTTGATATGCCACACCTGTCAGGTGGATGGATTATCTTTGCAAAGGAAAAATGCTCACTAACAGGGATTAATTAAACCAATTAATAACAGAGAAGCTTGCGGCAAGCTGATAAATGCGTGGGGTGGAGGGATACAATTTGGGAATTCTAGAGTGGATAAATCCGTTGGGATTACAACCTGCTCCATATTTAAATGTTACTTAAAAGCGTGCTTTAGAGAAGATCACTGAAATGCTTCAAACGCCAGGAAAATGAATGATGCCTCATTGGGTTGTGAATTATGATACACTTCAAGGTGAGGTCACCCATTTGGAAAAAAACATGCCAGCTCTGTTGACACTGGGCTTAGGTTGATCGAGCAAACTAAATGACCGCCATTGTTAGCCTATTTTGCATCCTGGTTGAAAAGAAGATTGGAAAGTGTTTTGGGACAATAGAGGCTAGCTAACTAAATAGCATGAGAGCACCAAAAAGACCCCATAGCCTCCTGAGACCCAAAACAATTTGGTGAAAAAATAAAACATGTTACCAAGTATAAAATAAAAAATATATACACTACCAGTCAAAAGTTTTAGAACACCTACTCATTCAAGGGTTTTTCTTTATTTTTTACTATTTTCTACATTGTAGAATAATAGTGAAGACATCAAAACTATGAAATAACACATATGGAATCATGTAGTAACCAAAAAAAGTGTTAAACAAATCAAAATATATTTTATATTTGAGATTCTTCAAATAGCCACCCTTTGCCTTGACAGCTTTGCACACTCTTGGCATTCTCTCAACCCGCTTCACCTGGAATGCTTTTCCAACAGTCTTGAAGGAGTTCCCACATATGCTGAGCACTTGTTGGCTGTATTCCTTCACTCTGCGGTCCAACTCATCCCAAACCATCTCAATTGGTTAGAGGTCGGGTGATTGTGGAGGCCAGGTCATCTGATGCGGCACTCCATCACTCTCCTTCTTGGTAAAACAACCCTTACACAGCCTGGAGGTGTGTTGGGTCATTGTCCTGTTGAAAAACAAATGATAGTCCCACTAAGCCCAAACCAGATGGGATGACATATCGCTAAAGAATGCTGTGGTAGCCATGCTGGTTAAGTTTGCCTTGAATTATATATAAATCACAGACAGTGTTACCAGCAAAGCACCATCACACCTCCTCCTCCATGCTTCACGGTGGGAACCATACATGCAGAGATCATCCATTCACCTACACCGTGTCTCACAAAGACACGGCGGATGGAACCAAAAATCTCAAATTTGGACTCCAGACCAAAGGACACATTTCCACCGGTCTAATGTCCATTGCTCGTGTTTCTTGGTCCAATCAGGTCTCTTCTTCTTATTGGTGTCCTTTAGTAGTGGTTTCTTTGCAGCAATTCGACCATGAAGGCCTGATTCACACAGTCCCCTCTGAACAGTTGATATTGAGATGTGTCTGCTACTTGAACTCTGTGAAGCATTTATTTGGGCTGCAATTTCTGAGGCTGGTAACTAATGAACTTATCCTCTGCAGCAGAGGTAACTCTGGGTCTTCCATTCCTGTGGCGGTCCTCATGAGAGCCAGTTTCATCATAGCGCTTGATGTTTTTTGTGACTGCACTTGAATAAACATTTTTGAAATTTTCCATATTGACTGATCTTCATGTCTTAAAGTAATGATGGACTGTCATTTCTCTTTGCTTATTTGAGCTGTTCTTGCCATAATATGGACTTGGTCTTTTAATTCCACAAATTAACTTTTAAGAAGGCACACCTGTTAATTGAAATGCATTCCAGGTGACTACCTCATGAAGCTGGTTGAGTGAATGACAAGAGTGTGCAAAGCTGTCATCAAGGCAAAGGGTGGCTATTTGAAGAATCTCAAATATAAAATATATTTTGATTTGTTTAACACTTTTTTGGTTACTACATGATTCCATATGTGTTATTTCATAGTTTTGATGTCTTCACTATTATTCTACAATGTAGAAAATTGTAAAAAATAAAGGTACTATATGTATCTATACAGTACCAAGATATAGTCCAATGTAGCTCAGTTGGTAGAGCATGGCGCTTGCAACGCCAGGGTTGTGGGTTCATTTCCCACGGGGGGCCAGTATGAAAATGTATGCACTCACTAACTGTGTGGTCCTCTGTAGCTCAATTGGTAGTGCATGGCGCTTAACGCCAGGGTAGTGGGTTCGATCCCCGGGACCACCCATATGTAAAAATGTATGCACATGACTGTAAATCGCTTTGGATAAAAGCGTCTGCTAAATGGCATATTATTATTATTATATTATTATTATTAAGTCGCTCTGGATAAGAGTGTCTGCTAAATGACTAAAATGTAAAAATTTAAAATAGTCATTTATCTTTTATTGTAAGTGCAAAATGGTCCTACATAGTGGTCATCAGGCCATAAATGAAAAAACAACACATTACAACCAATGGGTACAGCAGGTGACAACTCACTTAACTATTCCTGAGATATTAATTTACTAGTAATAATTTGAATATCAAACTCACAAAAATTATAACTAATAATTACACAAACCCTTTTTCAAATGTCCATAAAATGTGCAAATTTTTAAGGCCGCAATTCTTTAAAGAACCAGGAAGATAAAATTGTCAAGGTCACACCCCCACACATGATATAATTGAAAAGCCCAGAATGTCCTCTCAAAGTGACAACAGGACATAATACAGTGGCTTGTATGGCCTCAGAGATACGGACCAAGAACTGATGTTCAAGAGAGGACAAAATTAATTGCTGGGTCTCAGGAGGATAGCGAACTCCCATCTGTACAGCACAACTATGTTATTCTGGACTGACTACAGTAGTGCAACAGTATCCTAGACATTGGGGTTCGGGGAATGATACAGTGCCGGGTGCATCAATTACTTTAATGGGGTGAGTGTGCAAGAGAAAAAGTACTGCATTTTTAACATTTACATTTTAGTCATTTAGCAGATGCTCTTATCCAGAGCGACTTACAGGAGAAATTAGGGTTAAGTGCCTTGCTCAAGGGCACGTCGACAGATTTTTCACCTAGCAAATGGCCACATGTTCTTCTGTCTTCTACATGTCAAAGCATAGGCTAACGGCAGTTCCACTCTACACACTATTAACACAAGTGTGATTTTACCTTACACCTTCCTATCCCTAAACCAATTCGTATTTGAACCATGTTTTCACCAAGTTGAAATGGTGAAAACGGCAACAGGACTCGGAGTCCATTAACTTTAAGCAGAGGCCGGATAAAAATCTGTTAATGCTATGAGTTCTTCATCTTTTGAAATGTTCGGGTTAAATAAATTCAGTCACACAGGAGCAAATGTTGGCTTCCCCAGAGACACGCAACCACTCAAACCATGAATCCACCCCCACACTAAAAAGGACAGGCTTCAGTCACCTAGCTTGTCATCAATAATGGTAGGTCTGTCTATATGCATCTCATGTCTGAATAAAAACTCAATTTAGCTCTCAAGCAAAGGTTTGTACATATAACATCCTCAACACCCACACAGAAAATACACTGTTACCAACGACAACACGCCATGGCTCAATGCATGTCAGAGATATAGAACCTCTCGTGGCTTGAGAGCATGTTCATATTTCAAATGGACTATTCAAGGTAACCATTGCATTTCGGTTTCACCCACATGACAAATAAAAACAGATTTCACACACAATTGTTGGCATTCTATCCACCTCATTTTCGAAAGTTGCTATGGGCACAGCCAAACAACGGAAGTGATGAATTCGATGTCTGCTTTACTTCCGTACTGCAGCGCGCAGGTGGCAAACGAGTCAATTTATACAGTATAAAAGTCAAGAACACAAGTATAAGTGTAATTCTATATTTATTTCATTCAAGTTTGCTAACGTTTGCTAGACTTACTAGTAGGATAGTTCTGTTGATAACGTTAGTGTTGTGTCAAAGTTAAAGCCCTGTCTATCCACCAAGCCAATAACTACAACGATAACTGTCATTATAAACTATAGGCTACATAACTATAAAACGTTGGTGAGTATCCACACTAGAGGAAAGTTGATCGTTTTACAGGTCTACA